CAAATCATCCCCCCCTAGCAGGCTTAATGTCTCGTGCATATTCATAGCGTTTTCGGATTTCCAATCAAAGTAGCTGGCAGGTCTCTGGTGTGAGCCGTGCCTCTCACTCTTCGATGAATCATTCATGCTGTTTAGCTCACAGTTGTTTGGGCGCATCTGGCTCGGGGAGGTATGGGGTTGGCCAAATGGAGAGGCCACATGGCGGCTCCAGATGTTTTGCTTTTGTATATGCACAGCTCATCAAAAACAACAAGCAGTGCCACCCTGGAGTCGGTGCCATCTGGGAGACAGCAGAGAGCAGCTTCTCGTGCCCCATGGTGAATTATTGGAGGGCTCTTTTGAAAAAATATGACTTCTTTTCAGGCAACCCCTTAAATTCTACACACAGCAAATATGAAGACAGAAACACCTAGACTAGTTGTACTAATAATCCTTCTATGAGTTGTTAAATCTCAGGCAGCAGGTTGCTAATTTGAAGTCAGTCCATCAACCGGCTGAAGAAGTGTCCTTGAGTAAGACAGCAAATCCCTGCAGCTCAGAAAATATTTGTTGTAGCCGTGTCTGACAGCCCGTCTAAATAAGGTAATGGATTAACAGCACCGTCCAACACTTACTTGTCTTTCAGTTTTTTATTGAGTTGCATCAAATCATAAATCCATCAGTTATGACAGGAAGGTTTAAAAGATGAAGTTACATTTTCACACAAAGTTTTTGAATATGTCAGGTCACATTACTCTGCATGCTGTGCTCTCTGCAGGCTTTTGTGTCCAGCCCCATGTGCACATCACACCCCTCCCCAGATCCCTGCCACTCTCAGTAAAATCATTATTTAGTCCTTTTGTAAGCAAGCAGTGTCCCAGATCACAAATTAATCTTTCATATGTTTCCAAGATCTAGCCTTCTGTAATCCCATCTGTATGAGACACAACAAAGCACAGCAAGAGAGCGCTCCATGAATTATTCATTCATTTCTCATGAAAGGCTTTCGTTATGTCTGTCATGTTTCACTCTAGCAAGAGGAATCCATTGATCCTTGCCTTTTCTCTGACAACAAGAACAAACAAGCGACATCACATGGCTGTACATTTTCTCACACTCCGACAAAACAGATCTGAGAAAAAAGAGGCATGGGCAATAAAGCAATGTATTATATGCATAATGTGCATAATGTGTACACACATGCTCACTCGCACACACACTCGCACACACACTGTACACACACACACACACCACATTAAACACATCTCCATGCTCTTAACTAATAGCTGCAAGTGCAACCTCAGGGAAAATGTTTGAACTAGAACGCAGCGCTGCACAGTGGAGTAAGTCACATGTGCCTTGCCAGTAATCATTTATCTCCAGTAGTATTATAATCTAATGGGCATGTCTTCTTTCTGACAAGTTGCCTTCATAATTCAGCGCAACAGAATAGAGAAAACAGCATTGTTAACAAGAAAAGGCTTTAAATCACAAGCACAGAGTACATTTCCTGTGAAATATTAATGTGGAAAGTATGTTTGTGTACAAGGAACAAAGGGCAGAGTGTTGTACATCAATGAGCTGACAGTGCTGCAGGCTCCACAGAGCGGGCGCTGCTCCTTCCAGCTAAGGCACGCTGTGTATGTACAGTATGGGGGGGGGGGGTTGGTGCATGGGGGAAAGAGAGAGGGTCATTTATAATGTATAGGCCTGCTGGAGCGTGAGGTGTTGGGTCTGCTTAGGTTAGTGTGCATAGCTCTGTGTGGCTGCTCTTCACCTCCCTCTGAGCACTTGCCTTATTTACTTTAAAAGCTTTCCTCTGGAGCCTTGTTTGGGAACTTGGGAGGCAGGATGGATAAGACAGATCTAATTCACTAATACCCCCGTTTTTACAATGATGAGCCTGTCGCCTTACAAGATGGGGAGTGGGCACAACTCTCCCTTTGAAAGTCACACAGCCTTGTAAGTCCACATTAGTGTCTTGTTACCTGCAGTGTAATGAGGTTAGTCGGGCGGCTGTCTGCAGGGTGCTCCGGTAATGCTCTTGGCTCTCAGGAATCTGCCTGGATCCTATTAACGGAAAACACAGCGGCTTTATTCATTCATTCACAGCACTAAAAAGCATTAAACTCACATTTAAAAACACTGTATATACTGTATTACCTGCACAACTACCAATAATCCAAGTGCACCTGTGGCTTGTTCTATTCTTGTCACTCATGCTTATTTCATAGTACACTGCAGCTCTGATATGACAAGTTGCTTGCGCTGATTGTGTGTACTTGACTATGGAGATTATACAGCAGCTTGCAGGATAAGAGTGCTGTTGTTGGCCCAGGCTGCCTCCTCCCTGCCTGTCAGCGCCAAGCGGAGATGAGCTTGTGGCCCGTTCTGTCTGCTGTTAATCCTGCCTGTTCTGCTTTGTCAAAGCCGCTGTTTGAACAATGGAGCTGTCTTCTTGTCTGCTAATTTAGGAACAAACATTTGCCTGCGTAGCAAACAAGCTCTCCCAGGAAGTGCTATTAATAGGATAATTAAGCAGACGGTAATGAGCAGGATTACTGCTAATTATGACAAGATTTGTTTTGGCATTTGCCTGAGAGGCAGCGGAGTGTTAAAGTCTGCACAGGAGTTCATCGCTGCAGCGAGCGCGCAGGCACCTGAGTAAACAGATTGGGACTCACTGGGGGTATGGGTGTGCTGTGTGCACATGTGTGTTTGTGGGGGGGGGGGATGTAAACAGAGGGAGGATAATAGCAAAAGCACAACAATGCCAGAGGTTCTGCCAGGCCAGGCTATCACTTTGAAATGAGGTCAACCCAACCTGCCTCTGCGTGACCCCGCGGCTGAGAGGGCCAGACAGCTGACCCCCAACACAGCCCCCATATCCTGAAGCTAGTGAAACATGTCCATCACAATTTCCTAGTATATGTCATATATTGTATGTCTTGTTTTCTCTAACATGCAGTACAAAAGCAAAGATATTCCACTTGCATTGTAACGGTACGTCCACACGGCAGCGTCGCGTGCTTCAACGGAGACGCTTCCCATTCACTTTGAATGAGGTGACGTCACGCTTTACCGAACTGCATTGTGGTTCCGTTGCGTCGCTTTGCCTCTGTTGCTTGCTTCGAAAGTTGAGAACATTTCAACTTTTCAAGCGTCGAA